TGAAGATGATGTTGCGCGGAGCGAGCTGACGCACTGTTGACTGACTGGTACTTGGCGCGAGCCAGGTTCACGGCCTGCGAATGCTTGTCCACCCCCAGCTGGGCCTCCTCCAACTGCTTCTCGAGGCGCTCCCGTCTCTCTGCTGCTGTTCGAAGCTGCTGCCCCGCTCCACTACTCGCAAATCAACTACTCGCAAATTGCCTGGATCAGCGGCGGGGGATTTACGATATATCACATAGAGGAAGACCTGTATATTGCGGACGTTTGCGAGTAGGCACTTTGCGAGTAGTGGAACGCGCCCAGTGCTGGTTGGAGGCTCGTGCCGCACCCGCGAGCCGCGTGAGCGTGGCGTCCGACCTCTCCTGCCGCCGCCCCTTGCAGCGCGGAACGACAGCGGTGCCAGCACGACATGTTGAGAGAGAGAGCGTGTGGACGGCCGCTGCAGGCCCCCCGCCCACGAGGCCGAGAGGCGGGCCGCCTCGCGGACAAGCCTCTGGACGGGGGGGGTCAGAGCTCCCCGGTGCGGCCTGTGGCACAAGTGCCTGCGGGCAGCATCCCGCTCGACCGACCCAATCCCCTCCCTGTCCCCCTCCCCCCCCCCCTCCTCCTCCCCCTCATCCTCCCTCTCCCCCTCCTCCCCCTCCTCCTCCTCCTCCTCCTCCTCCTCCTCCTCCTCATCATCATCATCATCATCATCATCATCATCGTCATCATCATCAACAACATCATCATCATCATCATTAGCAGCAGCATCATGATCAGCATAATCACCATCATCATCAACAGCATCCTCATCAGCATCAGCATCAGCATCATCATCATCATCACCATCATCATCACCATCATCATCACCATCATCAGCATCAGCATCAGCATCAACAACACCATCATCATCATCATCAGCATCATCACCATCATCTTCATCAGCAGCAGCATCATCACCCTCATCATCAGCGACATCATCAGCAGAATCAGCATCATCATCATCGTCATGAGCATCAACAACAGCATCAACATCAGCATCAGCATCAGCATCAGCACCACCGTCATCATCACCAGCATAATCATCAGCATCAGAATCAGCATCAGCATCGTCATCAGCAGCATCATCAACAGCACCAGCATCAGCATCAGCACCAACATCAGCAGCATCAGCATCAGCATCAGCATCAGCATCACCATCATATCCATCGTCATCAGCACCAGCATCGGCAACATCATCAACATCAGCAGCATCATCATCAGCATCAACAGTACCATCAGCATCAGAATCATCGTCATCATCAGCAGCATCATCACCAGCATCCGCAACATCACCACCATCAGCATCATTAGCATCAGCATCGTCATCATCATAATCATCAGTATCAGCATCATCATCATCATCAGCAGCAGCAGCATCATCATCCTTCGTCGAAGCCCTCATCCCCTTCCTCGTTGTCGCCCTCATCCTGTTCATCGCCCCTCCTCCTCTTCCTCCTCCTCATCCTCCTGCTCCTCCTCCTCCTCCTCCTCATCCCCCTCCTCCTCCCAACACGCTCCCCTCTGTGCGGTCCCCGCGCCGCTGGGCGGAGGCGTTCCTCTTCGGGAGGCAGCTGCACACCTCGGACGGCATCCTGGCGGCGCACGGACCCCGCGTGACTTCGGCGTACGTGCAGGAGGAGGTCTGACTTGTACTATCCTCGTCTCCTAGCTCCCCATCCTGCCTCCTGTTTCCTCCTCTCGGCCCGCTCCTCCTCCTCCTCCTCATCCTCCTCCTCTTCCTCCTCCTTCTCCTCCTCCTCAGATGGCACGAGAGGTGGCACTTACACTAACCCCCGTTTGGCATCTGCAACGAATGGCCCACGTAACGTTGGCATTCCGCCTGTCTATGTCAGGCCGCGAAGCACGGCCGCATGCGTGTCGACACTACGACCGTTGCATTGGAACCCCCTGAATGTCAACAGCCAGGACCGCCCCCCCAAAAAACGTGACCCTAAAGACGGCAAACTCCGTCCGTGCGTGCGTGTCCGTCGGCGCTCAAGCCCGCCCTCGGCCAAACTCACCTCTTGAGAAGAACCGTGTTCACGGCACTCGTCTTTTGGAGGCAGGCTGCGGGCGCGGGCCACACACCAACAGATCGACAGGCATTGCTATGACGCTTTTTCAAAGGTTGCGAGTGAAGCATCCCGTCCGGCACTGGCTACCACCTGCATCTCTTGGCGGTAGAGGACTCGGGATTCGCGTGAAGCGATCGGGGTTGGATATGGCGATTGTCGGTTCTTCTTTTCCCCCGAGGCCTCGAAGAGTACCTGGGAGGTCCAACTACAAGGCGACAATGGGCGGACTGGTGACGTGACTCCGTTCAATTTGCTCGGAATCGTCACACCACTCACGCGTGCTGTCTATTCACAATATGGATCTTCATAATGGGGTGGGTCTATCGTGGCGGGAAGGGCGGTGGGACTATACGGACACGAACACTGTCTCTGAAGCACTCAGCACGAATGAGACTATATGCGGAGGAGCGGGTGAACGGGTAAGGGAATTGATGGAGGAGATCGAGTTTGTCCGTCTGGGGCTTAGGGAGCGGGTGGAGCCTACCTAGTACGTGAACGATAAAATTGTTCAGAGTAGAGTTGACTACATATTTGATCATGATGCTGCTGCCTCGCTTGTTGTCTCTGGTGGTCCGCTTATGCGTGTTAGGCGTAAACATGAACTTGCACCTAGTAAGCATCCGCGAGATCATGTGCCTTTACACTGCGATGGCGGGAGCTCGCACAGCATATTGCTCCGAATCTAGGGAGGATCGAATGTTCTGGACTTCTGAGGCCATGAAATTCTCCGAGGGACGGCCATTTTTCGTGGAAAGGGCCAGAAGCAGTCTCTCCTAAGTCTGAGACTCTAAAGGAAGCTCTTAAGCAAGGCATGCCCGATCGGTACTTGGAGATTCTCATCAAGGCGCTGAAGGACACCGCAGCTAGTCTCTTCAGCGGTACGCCTGCCAGCTGCTCAGCCCTGTACAAGGAACAGACGGCGGAACACCGTGCTCTTCTCGCAAGACGAATGGAACTTTGTCTTCAGCTGTCTCTGGCAGGCTGCATCTCGGAGGGGGAGGTGGAGGAGGCTCCCTGACAGTGTAGCAAGGAGTGTGCAACGGTGCGGAGGAGGCAGTTCGGGAGGTGGAGGCGCCAAATCACAGACGAGCTCGACGAGTCCTGCAAGATTCGAAGTTTGAAGGAGGCGCGCCGGTTAATTCTGCTGCTCGCCTGCCGCGGCAAAGCCCCCAGGGGCCGCAATTTCCGCCATCTGCAAGGAGCGCCGCTTTCTGATGAACTGTGGCTTTCGGTGTGGAGCCTTGTGGGGCACGTGGGGGGCATGGAAATTGAGGAGGTCACGGAGGAGGAGGAGATGTGTATGAACAAAGGGTGGATGGTCTTTTGGGGGGCTATTCGGTGGAGGCTAAGGTGGATTTGGGTTCTATTTCCAAGTATCTCAGACATGCACCTGAACGTCAAGCGTGCCCACCATGGTCTGTTCCAGTTGGGATCTGGGGGCTGCTCACGGAACCGCATTTTAGATTAAAGGACAGCCGACACGGTATCGACGCAAGCTTTCCTCTTGAGGCCAGCCTGTTGCAGGGCACCATGGATCGCAACCTCATGTGCACTCGATTTGCGGGACGTTCCCCCCCTATGGAACAGTAGTTTTGGCTGTGCGCTACCCAAAACCGTTTAACTGGACCAAAAGGGAAAGGGTGATTCACATACTCGACCCTTTCGGCGAAGCCTGACTCGCGGGTGCCATGAAACGTCATATGCCTGAACTCTTGGGACCTAGCGACTACGGTTTCTCACGTGGGAGGAAAAAGGAAGGAGCCATGATGGTGATTCAGATTCTATTGCATCGGCTTCGGATGAGTGATTTCAGCGACTCCTGGTCCAAAAAGGACCTCAGCAACGCGTTCCCATGTACCTCTTGGAAGCTACTCGAGCAGGCGAACTCGAAATCTTTAGATATGGAAGATCGACCTTTTGGACTAGAACGTTTCCGGGCATCCACGATAGCACCACCGACCCGAGACCGTCCTCTGGATGTGCGTCCTGGGTGCGGCGCGTCGATGGGTGACCCCTCTACACTTGAGAGTTTGGGTAGAGCATATGAGTCTCCAGTTAATGAGTGGAGCGAGGAGTGGCTCGACTGGGTCGTCGTGGACTGTCTTTTGGCAGCTGAATGCCCTGTGAGTCACAGCCTGGTAGACTCCAGTCTCACTAAATATGCTGATGATCTGACCAAGCTGCACGTCGGTGGAGGTCCTTCGTCCACCTCGGGCGATGCTGGTCTTCTTGAGCTTGCTCATGTTACCCAGTGCTTTCAGCGGTTGCTGCACGTCGGCCTGGCCAAGGGTGGGTGGGCGCAGAACTGTTCGAAGCAGCATGCGACATCTCACTCGTTGGTCAGGGCTCTGCTGCTGCCAATCGAAGGCTCAGGGGCTGCCATCAGGAGCTTTCTTCGGGAGGCGTTTCGCCCCACACGCGTGTACCAGGAGGGCTCGAGGATGGTGTTCTTGGCGCGCCGATGACGGCAACACCATTCCACTCTCCCTCTGGGACTTCGCCCCCTGCTCCAGTCCATGGCGTACCTTGTCCTGTGCAAGATCTTCGGCACCGCCTGTACTCTGAGCCCTCCGGCCGCCTGAGGCCCCGCCCGCCCGCGCGCTGTCTCCCCAATTAGGGCTACCCGCGCCCCGTTTAGCCCTTGACTGGAAGGGGCCCGCTCCCGACCCGCAGACCAAAAAATGTACTAGGAGGGCTTATCTTGCTACCGGAGCTGTGTCGGTGAAAACTTCTAAGCGTATCTCGGCCTTGCAGGCATCGCTCCATTCCTTGAATAAGTCTTGATCGACCAAAGAAACAGCATTTCGTTTTCCCCCCATTTCTTCACCATTAGACGCCAATTGAGGACACCAAGCACACTACCGGCTATGTAGCACGGTTGTCCGGCTAACGTGGCCGAAA